GCTGGAAAGCTGATTACTCTCCTTATACCAAAGCAAAACTGTCACCTGTGACCCTCGTAAGGCAGTCCATGTGCTAAGAAATCCCGTTAACTCTAAATGGAGCAGCTGAAAATGTTCTGAGGGTTGGTGTATGTGGCTTCTTTTTCAAGAGACCTCCAACAAAGGGAGAAGAACTCCCGTGGAGCCAGACCATGTTAAAGTGGAGATGAAAATGATGATGTGGCCTCTAGTAGAAAATCCAAGTTGACCAAGAACCACGTCCCGTGTCCAGGGTCCCAAAGGGAAGTCCCAGCAGGAGGTGATAGCATGGCCCCAACCCTTCTAATCCACACTCCACAATTCTCAGTCCACCACTATCTGCCAGACACAGAGCCCAGAAGCAAGAGTCAAAAGAACACTTCTGTCCCATCCAAGTTATTGTTTCAGGTGTCCTCAGGGGAGGCTCCAGGTGTGCACCTTAAATTAGGAGGAGGTGGGGGTGGGGCAGGCTGAGTACATAGGCCACTAAGTTAAAAATCAAACCTTTCAGGGCTAAGAACTAAGCTGTCTAGGCTGTATCATTAGCTGTGGTTATCACATACAGAACTGATTAGAAGCCAAGAAACCAGAAATTTCTAGCATTTTAAGGGAAATGTACTGCCAAAGAAACCACAAGCCTGGTGTGACAAAAGCTGGTCATTATTTGACCCCACAGCTCCTCTGAGGCCCCTAAACCACTTCTCCCCAGCAGGAAGGGAGCTGTAAAAGCCATGTAACCCCCTATGAGGGCAGCCTCTCCAGTTCCCACTTCTGATGAGACCGAAGGGAGCAGGGAAGCTCTGCCAATACCTACCCCACCCCTCAAAACAGGGTCAGAAATCACAGAACCAGGTGCTGGAACAGCAGTTCTTAAACCTTTATCTACACCGGCAGCTGAGCTAAGGCCCAAAACCTGCATTGCTAACAAGTTCCCGGGGGATGCTGAGACTTAGAAGTCTAAGGAATGCACTTTAAGAATCACTGGTCAACTAAGAACAGGGGCTACAGATGTACCAAGCAAAGGGCTCACTCCCCTTGCCGGAAGAGACTCCCCCGGGGAAAGGGTGAGCACGTTGTGTTTGTGGGAAGAAGGATGCATACAGATGTTTGGGTGGCCCAAAGCAAAGGGCCAAAGGAAGCCAGCTGTCCCTCCAACATGTACCCCTCGTCTTCTAGAGTAATAGACACTTCAGTTGTGCACACAGGCTCCCAGCTCCAGATCACATTTCCCAGCTTCCCTTGCAACTGCGTGGGGTCATGTGACCAACCCTGGCCAATGGCCTGTGAAGGGAGGTTACACTGCAGTTCCCAGGGAACCGTGTCTTTCTTGTTGGCTGGAAGGCATGTGTGGAGGCACAGTGTCTTTTTTAAGTCTTATTTAAGTCACTGTAGTCTGCCCTTAGTAACAGCAATGAACCTGGGATGCTAATATAGGAAACTACCAAGAAACAGCTAAAGGAGTAAAAAAGGTCGACACTGGCAAGCAGATTTGCCAGAAAAAGGAATGGTAAGGCCTCTGTACTAGTTTTTTTTAATTCTTATAACATTTAATGTCTGACAATTGAATATTAATGCTCTTGGCAATTAAGGCTGCGAAAATATCAAGGAACAGAGCCCCACACACTCAGCTCTTAACACAATGGGACCAGCAGCCCCTTGAAGGACATGATTTCAAGAGACAAGACACACATGTGGCCCCCCATGAATCCCACACTCAGCCTTTTGGTTCAGGTACAACCTTCGGAAGGTCTCTGCTAAGTACAAATACGTTACCTAGTTTTCCAGTTCTGTTTTACTCAAACCTAGTCTTAAAGTTCTCTGAAAAGTGGTGGGCAGAAGTCAGGTTCTCAAACTGCTACGGGCAGCTGAGCAAGCTCATAAACAATCTTCAGCAAGTAAATGCAAAGCAAGGTCTAACTAATGCTACAATTAGGGTCTCCCAGGTGGCACAGTGGTAAAGAATCCACCTGCCAATGCAAGAGACGCGGGTTCAATCCCTGGGTTGAGAAGATTCCCTGGAGAAGGAAATGACAACCAGTATTCTTGCCTTGGAAATCCCATGGACAGAGGAGCCTGGTGGGCTATAGTCCATGGGATCGCACAGAGTTCCATTGGACATATGGACTAAACAAAAGCAATGTTACCATTAGGGAAGGGAAAACTGATCTAATCGGCTGGAATAACAGAAATTTAATATGCCTCACTCATGCCTTTTGTATTCAATTTCAAAAAATGACCACTTTTCCTAATTAAAAAAAAAACACACAAAAAAAACAGAAAAACAAAACCCCAAAAAACCCCAAGATACAGAAAGGGGAAGTGTATTGCCTGAGGACTGAAAGCAATAGTGAAAACACAACTGAAATCCCAAAACAAATCTCTCTTCCTCAGGCAATTTTAATCAGCAGACCTAAGGAGGAGTGGGGAACACAGGCAGACTCTCACAGTCCTGAGAGGTTACAGGCAGTTGGAACAGGGAAGT